ACTGTTTACATGGTAATTCATTTCCATAGTTCATGATATGAGATAGATTTTAAATATCTTTATATAAGACAATGCCCAATCTCAAAACTGTAACGATTGGCAACGCTGCTTGTGTCTTGTATGAATCTCTGTTTAGTCTCAAACCTATCATAAAGACTAAGAAAACAATATGAAAGCAAAAATATATACTTAATGGGTCTTTTTTTCCAAGAACACAGCCAATAAATTTAATGAAGAGAGTACAACCATATTTCAGTAATTATTGATCAATAAAAGATACAGAGTATCAGTGTGCACCCAAATGGATGTAGTGACTAAATCATGTGACCAGATTCTGTAGATTATTAGTTTAAACAGTTAATAGTCATATGAACATTTTCAATTTATTAATATTATCACGTAGATTTTATTATTTACTGATTGTTCTGTTAAACCAATTGAATGAATAACTAAACAATTGTGAGAAGAAAACATTTGATCAGAGGGATGATAGTGATTATGATTAGATATGTAAATAAACAACCTTGAAAAACTGAAGCGTGGAAATCATATCTGATATGCTATGAATCAACAAAGTTAGACATTTATATTCGTGATTAATAAAACCTACTTAATTTATCAAAGTATGAACTCGGTAAGTTACTTTTAAATTAGCAAAATATAATTTTATACTACAATCGAATATAGATTTGCAACACCAGTTTTTTAGAATTGGAATGACTCTGTTACAGATGGTTTGTATCAGGGTTTGGTTGAATTGTTTATTCATGAAGAACCTTCTTATCTACTTATCCGGTATACTCGTTGAGAGGTTGTGATTTTCATAAGACCACATTATTTTCTTGTACGATTAAAACACAGTGTCAACATGAGATTCACTTTCATGAGCTTTATCAATAGCAATGAAACTTCTTCTGTGTTATATACCATAGCTAAGAAGTCTTAAACAAATTATACAAGTGGGATACGGTCATTCAGACGACCGATAAATAGTGTTTTTTACGAACATTGCCCATTCAAGGAAAATCTAAGTGAAAAATAGATTTGCAAACTATAACTAATTTTTTACATAGAAGAGCAACGGCTCTTCAAGCAGGCATTCAACGAAGGACTGATCTATAAGTATCCAACTAAAGAAGGAATAAGGCTAGCAAGGAGAGGTAAATCAACTATAATTGTTGATCGTGGCATTTTAAATTTGTGAATTGTGTTTACACAGTGAGTTATTGATCAACCATCTGTGAGTTTCGACCACTTAAAGTTTGTTGAGAAAATGGTCATTAATCAATGTAAATAAAACCTATGAAATTTAGAGTATCTCAATCTAGTTGACGTATGAAAACAAATCTTCATATACAGTATTTTTCTGTTTTTTTAAGCTGTTGTAGCCCACGAGAAGGGGTTCCAGAATGTAGGGTTCTATTTCTTTACTAGTAAAAGGTAAGCTCCATCACATATACAGTTAGATTTTTACAACAGTATCAGTCAGCAAGAAAGTAGCTTCCCCTCGCTTACCTATATAAATCTCGATAGTACTAGTTTACAAGACTAATATCAAAACTGTAGATGATTTCATGGGTAATTTATACTTGGAATAGCACAGATGTTTGCAGTAACTATAAATTCTTTATATCCTGTTTCATAAAACGCAGTTATTATATAATACGGATCTGTATCATTTCCACTAATAGTTAATCGATCGAATGTATTCTATAGAATGAATTTTAGGTAGTGTTAGTAATGAACTATATCCTCATCTTGAAACCATATTTGAAACGCCATTTTTTAAAATATCTTTTAAGATATTGTATAATTCTACAGTTTTAAGTATCCTAGACGTTTTGTTATTTGTGTATAAACTAGTCAGTGACATTTTTCTTAAAGTTGGAACTGTTAGTTTCTAAACAAAACAATTTTTTTAATCCATCAGAATTAGTGACATTATTAGGAGGAAATATCATTAACAGATCTTTGTCGTAAACCCCTTGAAGAATTTTCCATTTATGTATTATGGTGTGAAATAATATTTGGCCTCCACTTTTTTTATTTCATGCATAACTTTAACACTGAACTATAGACCTACGAAATAATGTACTGCAGGGCTTTTGTGTTGACTTTCACATAAACCCCTTATGTAATTGAACCTCATTTTACTGAAGGGTACATACAGCAATATATGAATGGTCTGTATTACTAGAGGAAATCTATTTACTAACAAAACAAGATTAGCCATAGAAGTAGATTTGCGTCCTATTTAAAAGCATTGACTGATGTTTAATTAGTGAATGGTTGTATTGTACTTTTTTGCATAGAAGAAAAACAATTATTTATCCATACTTGAAAGAGATTTCGACTTACTTGACAGAAATAAAAATGGTTGGTTAAACAAAAAAGAAGTTCAGAACTGTCTTACCTCGTTTGGATTCGATCCACGTTATACTCAGGTAGGTGTTGAATTTCTTTTCTGTGCTATTCGAACAGTCTTGTAGTTCCATCTTTTTTATTTGTTAGTTGTGGTATGTGAATGGGAAAATTGAAATGCAATCACATGCTGAGCATTTAAAAGGAAATTTTCACTACCGAACACAGAACAATCACTTGACATGAAATAAGTGACATTTTTTAAAATAAAAGTAGGAAATTGAATGCTGGATTTAGTGATTTGCTATCGGTCTACGAATGACCAGCACTTTTTAATTTTGGGTCAATTATTCGGTACTTTAGTTAAGTGGCAGACTTCTTAAGAGATAACTTATAACCTAGATCCTAAATGGTGGACAGCTACCTAATATTCAAGTATAAACACATTTAACTAATGAGGGAAAAAAGTCAGTCTTTCTGAGAACAATGTAATAAAGTCATTTTTATACTTGTAAGGACAATAAGAATGACATTCATTACCATTTGAAACAAGTAACAGCCGAAGCTGATTAGTCATGGGCAAGACATCAAAGAAGAAACTTGATTATGGATACATACATTACCACATCTTTATATATATAAGCTTTTCAATAACTTCCGTGTATCAGCTAAAAGTTCATTACATCCGACATACAGCAAACATAAATCGAAATCACAGCATATTATTTCACAAATATATATCAACAATCCTAAGCCACTGATCAAGTTTAATAGGTTATTTTATTGACTGATAATCATGTGAATGACAATGTCTAAAATCATAAAAATAATTTAATTGGTGGAAATCTTACTGAAAAGTGTTGTGACTTTTGCCCTGTTAATTATATCACATGATTTATTCGTCAATCAGAACACGACTTATACAATCTTAGCACAATACGAAACCAATGACGTGTTGACCGGTACGAGCAGTCTAGAGTCCTTATAGGTCCTTCCCGTCTAGCCCTGCCTGTCGAGTTAAGAACACAGCTCCTACTGTATGAATCATATACTTCAGATATACTTGGTTTATATACAAACAAACCAGACCACACCGTACAATAAAATAAAAAATAACAATTATACAGGACCAAGCCAAAAAGTGGCTGTGACTGTAAGAGACTATAATTAATAAACTGGGTATAACCTAAGAATAGTAAATCGTATAATAATAGTAAATAGGTCAAATAAAAGCTTATGATAAAAGGAATATATATATATATATATATATATATATATAATCTGGTTACTTAACAGTTATACAATAACAATATACGTAACAATCGTCCATAAATACTTCCTAGCAGTTACCATTCATTTATTCTTCTTCATGATATAACACAAAGTAGAATTAACCAAGTGAATGACTCTAGGTAACACATTTCAGTAATTTTCATTGTTGATTGAAGTTAGGGGCCGAGCTGTAAATATATCTCAATTTATAAAAAGGAAAAACTATTTTAAATTTAAAACACGAATTTCAGCGAAGGGATCTCTTTTCAACGAATTTATTATCAAGCTGTACAATCGTATATATATGAAAATTTTGTTTTTGTAAAAGTACTAATACCGTGAGGAAATGTGAACACAGTTAATAAAAAAGGGTTATAATACTAGATTACGTAATATGAATAATAACAATAACAATAGATTTAGTGAATACAATAAGATGATTAAAATGTTTTTGTTATAATAATTAAAGGTCATAGAGGTGTAAAAATAAATAAGGTGATATGGTGAGTATTCACGAGTAAAACAATGAGAATATAAGACATAAGTAAAGGGGAGAATGCAGTAATAATAATAATAGTAATAATAATAATAATAATAATAATTGGATAATCAAATGCTTAAGGCCAAGGTAACGATAACGATGAGACGTACTTCTTTTGTACGCATAGTTCCGGTTTAAGCTCCTGAATGGTAAGAGCTTCGGCTATTTTTAAAGTTGGATGTGAAGAAATCTGGGTAGATTTGAACGAATCATATAAACAACCTTAAATTCATTTTTTGGATCTGTGGAATGGTTACAGTCGATTAGGTGTTCAAGTATAGAACTCCTAACTGCTTTCCTTTCACCCTTATAGAACCAAGCTGGGATATGTTCCCGTATCCGAGTTGAAAGCGAGCGCTGGCTACGGCCAATGTACCTTGCTCGACAAGAGCGGGTGAACCGGTAGATATATACGATTGTACAGCTTGATAATAAATTCGTTGAAAAGAGATCCCTTCGCTGAACTTCGTGTTTTAATTTTAATGTTTAAATGGGAATTATCTGTCAATATTTTAAATTTGACAAGCTGAAACCGTAAGAAGATAGGTTTTATAAATTTTTAGGTAAAGAAGGATGATTGTAAAGATGTCAAACATAAGTAACGATTCGTAATAAACTCCTTGATTTCCTATTCAAAAGAACAATGCAACCTCTGCTTCGATACTTATCTAATTAACAGTTAATAGGTAAACAACTCTTAATTATTTACTTGAATCTTCCCAATGATGTTTAGGACTGCAATTGATCAGTCTCTTATTAGTATATGTGCATATTGCCTCGATATTGTCTTAATTCACAAGCATTATAAGCAAAGATGGATAGTGGCTAGCAATCTAAGATTGTAAAAAGTATTGCTTGGTTTGTTTTTATCGACATATATAATTAGCAAAAATAATATTCGCTGGTTTGTCTCTATTTACACATTGTAAGTATACGCAAAATATGTGATGTGCTCTTAACATGAACCCGTCTACTTATCAAATAATTACTTTCACATCGAAACACCAATTATCTGCGTTTGATGGTGACAACTAAACTTTTAATGGAATCTATGGACATTTTTATGTCAAGCATCCAGAGATACAGGAAACTCCAATCGCAAACATTTCTCTTCACATGAAACTAGTTATGGTGTGTATAAATAAGTGTGTAGGAATGGGAGTTTCAAGAAGAGAATTTCCTTTGTTTAACAGTCTCTTTCTTTACTGTAATTCTACCCTGTTATTTCGATTATTTCAAATCCAATAATTTTCTCATCTTGTTAAATTCTTCGTTATATGTTGCAGTTGGGTCTTTAAAACTTCTACTTAAAGCTCAACTAATCCAGTATCAGTAATCAGAGCATAGTAGTAATTATTGAAGCAGTCCTAATGTGTTGTTAGTTACAATGGAATTTTACTTCATGTCGGTTTCAAAACAGTTTCTATCCTCTGAATTGATTCTGATAATACTTTTTGTTAATCAAGATTAACTTGTAACTTGTTCAAGTGATTTTCCTGTGATGAACACATATTTCAACCTTTTACTGGACTATCCTTACCAAAAAACTGAATATTTGAACTACGAAGTATTTACGTAAACAACCACATTTTGCCAAATCGTTATTTTAAGTAACGGATATTCCCGTATCGACACTACTGTACAACAAAAGCAAAAATTCTCTAACGCGTTTTGAATTTAATGTGACAACTCTGTTTATAATAATTGTAATCTGATGGTAATATTGTGGCAAACCGCACAGGATGAAAATGTGTCAAAAGGGACTAACCAATTTCAGTCCTAAACATTTATGAGAAGATTCAAACAACCAATACAAATAAATTTTAGTTTATTCTTTGGAAGATAATAATCCACAACGACAGCTAACCATATTGTAGCATTTTAGAAACACTAAGACTTCCAAATATCCTTGCAAGTGTTACACTAATAATGATCAGCGAGAAATATTACTTATCAAAATTTTGGACAGAAACACGTCTTTCTTAACTTCGTTATTTAAAAACAGACGTCTAAAATAAACTTCAATTAGAGATATCTTTACATTTTATAGAAACTTGAAAAAAAGGTATTCAATTGTAAAATCCTTCAGGTTTTGTATTTCAACATCTTTGAACACCAAATACATTTAGGTATGTATGTGTTATTCTGTTGGCTCTTTATTAGTAAGATTGGGCTCATCACTATCCAACAGCAGATGGAGAACAATCTGAAAACAGAAGGTAGTGGTAAAGCATTAAATCGTATTTTAGAGTCTCTCAGGTTTTATTCGCTGTTTATATAATGTTAGTCAATGATTGAATTTACATTACGTGAGCAAAATTTCCTCTAACTATATAATGAATACCTTATGCACATTTAAGGAGTTCATGGTACACTTCGATGTAAACAGTGATGACAAAATAACAAAAACAGAATTCCTTGAAGCTGCGAAACAAATTAAAATTGGGAAAATAACGTGAGTTATGATACTTACCGTTTTCCTTTGTACCTTTATCATCAATATGTTTGTAGTGTAATCCGAAGATGCTATGAAATGCTATACGACTTAATCTAAAGTAATAATAGAATGTTCCCATCTTGCCACCCGTTTCTCAGGTTTTCTTATGGCTAAAATTTCAGGGTTGATTTCGATCTGGTAGATAGTGATCAAGAAATTTCTTTCTAAATAAACAGTACTTCATTATTCACTGACGCAAAAATACTTCTATATCTTGGAATATAGCCTTAGCGAAATTGCAACAGATGATCTGAGAGCTTGGGAGACTTAGGGGTGGATAACTGATGGTTCTGAATCTCAAACTGGATATGAAAACACAATATGCTGTGTCATTATCAAAGCTCGACTTGATAACTTCGAGGAAATTGAGAATTTGGTGTCTTGTTAATGATGTAATATATATGTATGGTCTCAATGAGTAGGAAATTAAATTTCTAACGTTTCATGTAAGCCACTTTCCCAAATAATAAAAATAAGTAAACGAATTGAGTTAACAGTTTAAATAGTGCAAAGGACACAGTAGAATATATTTAGTTAAACCAAAATTAAAATAGGTCTGATCATGCTTATCTTATGTCATTTCGGTCAAGGTTATTTCATTGTATCAGACATAGTTATGTGTGTGTGAAAAATGTGATATATTTGATGTAGGAGAGTAAGGTCAGGAACGTTTGTACATTTATTAGGCGTTTGTAATGTGAACGGGATTAATTGCTTGGATAAATGATCCATATTGGATGGATCATTAGGCCTTTCTTTCTGTTAAGCTCAATAGGGTTTACTAAAATATAAAGGGCTTCAGACATTCACCTTTGTTTACAATTGTAAAATCCTTTGGGAATTATTAATATCAATCTGGTGTTTGCTAAAAATAATATTTACTGTTATTGCTGATTTGCATATTGCCTAGATCTACAGGATTATTTGGAGGTCTTTTTGTATGACACAAATGTTGTTTTACTCGAGTCATGATTTTACGAGAAGACTTACTAATATAGGATGCATCTTAATCTATACATCCTTGTCTGTAGATACATTTCTGCATCGAAGTAATCGGGATTTCATCTTTCATTCAAATTCAAGCAGCTCGACGTGTTCTTTATTTTATAGAACGGTTTAATTCTGTGTAATCTGAGGATTCATTTATAGTTTTTCTCTTGTGCCATGACGGTATGATATAATCAAGGTACCACCTCATGAAAATTCATTAAATTTATTACTATTCAACTAAAGAACATTTCGTTTTAGTATATTGTGACTAATATTTATAGGAAAACTATTAAACTATAAGATGTTGATAACATTTTTGTGTTCCTTTTGTTTCTCTTTACTTGACGTAATCTTTAACGCCCGTCTAAAACGTTTAGAGTCAAAGCGATTTTTGATTTGAGTGGATGTGATGAATTGAATTCAATTTATCGAGTTGAGTATTTCGGTTTGCGGCATGTGGTGGTATTATGTAGGCTATCTTGAATTCGTTTCGGTACACCGCTTGTGTATTGAGACAGGGTATATGCTGGAATGTTTGTGAAATCCACTATGGATCTAAACAGGATATGAGGTTTATGAATTTTTGGTAATCCATAAAAATGTGACGTGGTACAATTCAAAAATATTCTGCTTTGAGTCCTTTGTACTATTTAAACCCCGTTTATGTAATTTCATTATTTTATTTGATTATTTGAAGAAGTGGTTTACACGAAACGTCAGAAAATTAATTTTCTACTCATTAGGACTTTAGAAATACATTATTTTTATTATTAACAAGATACTACAGTTTAGTATTGACAACAGTCTCATGCCTTCATTAAGAAGTGACTTTTGACTCCAATAGCTTTTATGTATTGTGAGAGAGCATCCTAAAATTCAATGAATAACTGTGTTAGATTTAGCGCTAATAAAATCTAGGAAAACATGAATGAATTTCAAAGATTATCAGTCATGTTTAGAAGAATTTGTTCTAAAAAGAGAAAAAACGTCAGTTTTCAAACAGTATACTCGTGTACAACGAATGTATTAACGAATTTTATTCATCAACACTGTAAATGTTTTTTTTTCAGATTGGTTTTATGTTTGTTTTTATTCCAGTGATGCAGAAATGCGTTCAGCATTTAGAAGTGCTGATAAAAATAAATCTGGTAAACTCGATGCTTATGAGTTGAGGGATTTTTTGAAAAAACAGAAAAATGTCGTTTCCATGGATCTCTGTACCAAGTGGATAAGACAGAATGATAAAAACGGAGACCAAAAATTGGATTATGAAGAATTTTTGAAGTTTGTTCAATCCATGTTATGAAAAGAGGACATTGGCTTCATTTGCTCACCTTTACAATACTAAAAACTAATATAAGACTAAATACTTAAAAGTAGCCATTTGTGTATTTTTTAAATAAACGTATGAATAAATTATGAAAGTTATCTGGGGAGAATAATACTTACAGTTGTGCAAATAACCAGTATCATTTTAATTGTTCTCTTAAAATTTACGTTTATAATGTATGAGTTTCTATTACAATTAATGAGGTTTATTATATAGTAGATAGCTTCTTTAAGTTATATAGTTAGGATATGTTCTTCATGAAAGTTAGAACTAAGTATCTGCGTTATCGTAAATTGATACTAACGTGTAAAAATCATATACCAGGCCTCTCAGAAACGAGCTCGATACCTAAAATTATGATGGGAATAAGTCCAGACTGGAACTTAGAAGGAGCCTAGAATAAATTGCTTAAATTAAGTGGAAAACATTATAAACCAAATCAATGAGCTTGAACGAATCGGCAAATTATTTCATTTCAAATCTGAGCCTATGAACAAAATACCGTATTAAGTCGTTACAATCATGTGTAACTGTAAAAGTATATCTAACGAATTTTTCTTAGATTTACGACAATGCACTGCGGTGAATAACCAATACATTTACTGTACAGCTAAATATTTTATTTTGTGTTTAAACCTATCATAATAATACAATACAATTTCACACTGCGTACTTCGAATTTGAGTTATTTATTGTGTTTTGTCGAGGTTCTAGGCTTATTGGGATTAATACCATTTCAAATTCGTACACAATATCAGCCAGCTGAAGATCTAGTTACAATTATCATATTAAAATCCACGATGAGTTGACTAAAGCACAGTACGGTAACTGTGTTAATGTTCAGTTTGTTTCTCTCGTTATCATAAACCGCAATAAATACCTCATAGATGACTACCAGGGTAATGAAGGACAAATTCGAAAAAATCAAACACAAAGCGGTTTCTAATCGATTGATGGGATGATAATTTATAAACTGTTTAAGTGTTATATCACCATAACCATTTTGGTTACCAAGAGGATATTAATCTTGCAAAAGCAGGTGATATTTTTTATAGTAAACCGATATAATCTAAAGAACTACTAGAGAGCAATGAGATTTAAAGAAATTTTTCAATCATCTTGGAAAATCCCCGGTAGTATGGTTCTAAAATGTATAAAAATATAGCTCAAGACCTTCATGAAAATTTGGATCACTGATTAAATGATGCAACTCTGTGTTCAAATCCGTATGGGAGGGAGTTTTGAGCTAAATAGACAACCAATGATGTTAAATTTTCGGCAGCCCTCAAACTAACATCATTTCACCACGAAATTTATCACTATATTATTCCGTCCCATTCAACTGTTAGTCTAGCCAGTCAAGTACTTTAAAATGGAGAACAGTTCATAATTAAAATAAATAGTATGAATTTGTAGCTACTGAAAAAACTGTAAGTAGTGCAAAGGAATAAAGCGATATATATATATATATGCTTCCACCCATAGATCATTCTAGGACTACTTGGACAAGTGCTCCTTTAAATACATCTACGAATCTCTCGACAAGATCATTTAATTGCAAGTGGTAAGGAGTTTTGGTATACTTAATGATATTTAGCTTTCTTTACCATTGGGAAAACTGATATGATGGGAAGAAAAGTCAGAATTAGATTGATTTTTATTCAACATTAATTCCGTTTTAATTCAATGTATCGATTATTCAGTATAATATTTGTTTCTATTTTCCCATATGACATTTTATTCTGTATAATATACAATGTTCTTGTATTCTAATGCACATGAACTATTCTCAGCATATGATTTGTGTTAGGTATGCAGAGGAATATCCCAATAATTATCGTGTTAAGTCGAATGGTGTCCTTGAACGTTAAATGGGCATTTCCCATTGGTCGATGTTTGTTTCACTTGTTAAATATTGTGTAAATGTTGTTTTCTATTTTATGGTACGATGTGGTTTGTTTGGTTAGTATATAAATAAAGTATGTCTGAAATACAATGATTCATAACTCAGAGGCCGTGACTTGCGTTCCTTACTCAACTGGCTGGGATAGACAGGGAAGCAGGACCACTCGGGACTCTAGGTCGTCCGTACGTGTTTACGTGTCACTGAAGCAATCGATCGATAAAACGCTGCTTACCAAAACCTGCAGTCTCACACGCTACAACAATTTGTTATAACTCTGGGTATTTTTTTTATATATGTGATTTTATTCTAATTATTAATCAAAAATAGGTATATGAATCAATATATAAATGAGTGTATTTTCGCCTAGGGTAGTCGTGTTTTGGAGGTTAATAAATCTTCACTTATACCAGTCTTTGTATTCTTACTTTCGCATCGTGGGAATCACAGTGGTTCCGCGGTTTTACAAGTATAAGTGATAAGTGATTCCGACATAATCAGCGACGACCAGATATAACAAGTAGCGTCCAATCGACAAGACATATCAGTGGCGACGGAAATTTCGGAAAAAATAGAACTCATATAAAAAACGATGACTGATCACCGCACTAATAATCATGGGTATCAATGTGCACCATTATTTCAAACTTTGGACTAAAATGAGTTAATGGAGAATGTTCAGATGAAATTTTTCTTAATTCATCTAAGAGATTCTGACTGTTTAGATTGATTCCATGTTGAATTGGTGGTCAAATATTGATTCAATAGATGATGCAATTTATTCACAGAATTTACAGAAACACTGCAAGATCCAATCATCCGAAGAAATGACCGTAGTGTAGGCACTGATATCTGTTTAATAGCATCTGTATTATACAGACCTGCTGGATGACCTCTTTTGCAAAAAAATAGATCCAAGACACTTAAAAGACTCACGGGAAAATCCAAATTTATATTCCTGTAGGTTAAAACCAGAATGAGACATTCTGTGAGCACAACATCTAAACGAATCATCCATTAATTTGGAGTGGGACCAACAATTAGTGTTATCCAGACAAGCTACCGAACCCTTCACAATTCTACAACATTGTATCCACTAATCACAGTTGGTTTTGAGCCGAACGGTAATCAGTTACACTGACTAAAGCCGTGATGAGTTTTGATAACTAGGTCCATGCCGTTGCTTCTGTCCTCGACATCTAATCAAAATACAAAAACAGCAAACTGATCTTCCTTCTTCAAAGAAGGGTTGAAGGTCATAACAATTTGGTGATGGAGACTCCAATGGAGATGATAAAAGATGACTGTTTTATTTGGTCAAATAGAGTTACCACTGTCTCAGGAGTACAAACACAGGCTCTTCAAGAACGGTGAATTGGAAAATTAACGGCAAAATTTCATCTTTAGTCCACAATTGTGCCAGAGCAGAAAGATATAGAATCATCGCTTCGTACGATCCAGGAATTTGATTTTGATGCACAATGATCACATTCAAATTACGGTTTGGCTGAATAGATGTTTTCCGAATAGAGTATGCTGCTACTGTTGAAGAGAAGGTTCGGTTGCTATTACAAAACTGGATCCCATGAGCATCAAAAGTATGGGAATTATATCTTACCAAAATATACTCGTGAATATATGAGTTATGGTGAAACTATCGGGATCTTAAATAAGATATTTTGTAAACAAATATCCTGATTCTATAATCAGTATAACTATCTCCAATTAATGAAAATCGATGTTTACCTTGCATAAGCCGAGAGAGCTAATTTTCAGTCCAAACGATTCAAATTACATGCTTTGCATTATGACCAGCTTCAATGTTTACTATTTGCTCTTGAAACTCAATCGTTCACGAAGACCGGTATTCGAACGAGACTGCCATCATATATTGGAAAAGAAAATCAAATGACTCTGCGAATGGTTAATGAAGAATATCAATACCCGGTCAACCTAAAACATGCCGCTACGATAAAAATTAAGGAGTATAGCCATCAAGACTCAGTGCTAATTACATTAAACTAGGTAGAAGATTAAATTTTACAATTAGTGGCTAATACCAATTCAAGTCTGTCAAATTGTTAACAAATTATTAATTTTGTGGCTCGAGGCATCTCACCATAACTTGACACTTCAGAAATCAAAGATACAACACATGTTACAGAATTGGTTTTAAGGAAACGGTTTGAAACTAGGATGAAGTAAAGCTTTATCAGAATCGAGAAGGCCAGATAAAAATATATGAACATATGCATTCAGTGTAGCAAATAAAACATGATATGCGAATTTACTAATAGGGGGAATTTATATTTGGTTACTACTGTATATAGCTTCGAATATTACACTTGTTACTTACAAGGTATGGAATGTAGTAGGTTTCTGACCTATATAATTCTAGAAACACATTTGGATTGATCTAATGTGCTGTTCAATTCAATGAAAATTGTTTTGCCCAAACTTGTCATATAACAGGTGAACATGGTTTGGAGAGTAATAACCTTCTACTGACTTTCTTTAATAGTAGGATTCTTTAGAACTAACCCATACTCCAGTCAGATAAAGAAGTATTTCGTGATCATTGAAAATGAAATAAGTTTGTTCTATCTTGGTATGATTTGAGTTGAATAAACCTGTAGATATTTAAACCACCAAATAACTTTAAAGTTTGATAACATGTCAATATACAACTTGGTTATACCCCAATATTTACATTAACATACTTTCTACCTTGCTATTACTTCGTCATACATCGCGTGTGAAGATAGGTAACATATATCTCAACAGTATGTGTCCAATTTCTAACCATTATGTCCAGTATTCATCCCAACAATTTCGTTTTTGGTAGCTTAGCAATACTGTTAAACCCCACACAAGTGTGCCTCAGAGCTTAGTACAAGGACCTGCACTTTGAATGTTTAACTAACATTAGACAGTAGATTTCCTGTTTGACTAGACTGGTAGTTAGGCAAGGTATGAGTTATCTGTTGCATATCGCACTCTGCCGTAAAAAAATAGAGGACCCAACAAAATGCTGTTCACTAGCAAGAAACAAGGGCGTTTAGAGAAACACACATTCCAGATAACGACTACAATATCCCACTGTAACAGTTAAGAAACCTAGGACAGTAATATCTCAAGTGTACGAGCTGAATTAAATCAAAATAAAATATTCAACTTGTAAAACATTAGATGTCATTTCAAACTACCCAAGGATAGTTGATTAACTGTTTATCTTCAAGCACTTCTGTGGCACAATGGATACCGCTCTTGACTACGGGTCAGCAGACTCCACAATTTTACCCCTAAATGCCCTGGTATGGTCGAGGGTGAAGAGTCTGCTCTCCTTCACGAATTGCTCTCACACGGTCACGCGTATACAGCCACCGTTAGGGAAGTCCTACCCACTACCTTCTCAAAGTGGGGGTGTTGTTTACGAAATTAAGAGGACGAAAAGTGAATGTCCGGTGCTCTAACCGGGTTGATCCATCCAGGGGCAACCGGGCGGTATCAAAGCCCCCATACAAACCAATAATAAGTACTACTAGAAAAACTACTCTTGCTTCAACGCGCATTCGGACAAATCATATTCAAAACCACATAACATTCGTCTTTATTCCTTTTATACCGCGTCATTTATATACTACCCCTTATTCTCATTGTGCGCATTTTATTTTCCAACTTATACAGCAGCTCGCCTATCTTGAAAACCCTCTTATATCTAAATGATCTCAAATCACTGACTGGTCGAAAGTTGAATGCTACCACCGAATACGAACACTGAAAGTCTTTGTGAAACCACATACACCATTCAAACTGGCCTCCTTCGAGACTCGCACACTAATGTGGATAGGACAACAGATAAGGTTGGCGATGTATTAAGAAAATCGCAACATCGATTCCAGTTTCTGTTGCGACTAAATATCAAACCGAGCTAGGTTAAAGGGTAGCTTCCAGCCCGCTGAAAAGTATAAATGAGCATTGGTTCAAATTACATGTCATAAAAATGGAGAGTAATGTCGCTTGCAGCTTCGCGAAACGTCCAGTTTATAAACACTGGGTTTCTGTAGGCTTCTTACAACTCACTTAAGCCCGTCGGTCTATTTAGGGTGACCGTGAGTTTGACCATAATCGTAGACTTGTACGTTATGAGATTGTGCAAGCTTGCGTGAGGACCGAGAAGCCTGGTGGTCGGAACGTGCTAACGAGTTGGAAACAGCAGCTGCTTCCGGTGACTGCGGAAGCTCTTTAACTCATTCGAGTCACTGGTAGAAATAATTCTGGTGTGAATGAAACAAACTGTGAAAATGATGGGATATCAACCACTAACATGTGCCGATGTCTTGGACGATGGGTAGACTTTTCCGAGCAGCAATTAAACTGGTCTGCTGGTCCAGCAACATTGACCACACTGTCTTGACCTCGATGCCCTATGACAACTGATCCACTCAATAAGGTGGAAGTAAGCATGGAACTCAAACTCTTGAAGCGCAACAAATCACCAGGTTCAGATGACTTACCTCCGGTCCCTTTTAGAGACGATGGTGACCTTCTCGTTAAGGAACTGACAGAGCTATTTACAAAGGCATGGAAGTTAGTCTTCCAACATCATGGAATCAGTCGATAGTTGTTCCTATTTTAAAAAATAAGGTTCACGTTATCTATGCAACAGCTATCGGAGGACAATTCTATTTCGATTGCGTCTAAACTATTGGCTTACGTCATACTTCGTAGATTGTTCAAAACCCAAGAAAGATTGACTGGTGAGAAGCAGACTGGCATGAATGATGGGACCAATTCATGTATAGTGAAAGGCAGAGCGGCTTATATCAATCTGGGCCATCATTGGCACCTTCGTGATGTTATTCTGGATGTAAAATGTCGGATCTACAACGCGTCAGTGAGAACAGTTTGACTCTACGCTTGTGAGACCTGGCCCCTCCGAGTCAGGGATTTTAGACGACTCTTTGTTTGATCATAGTTGTCTGCGAAGGATTGCTGACATACAATGGCAACACCATGTTAATAACGCAGAGATTCAACATCTTGTGTTCGGGCACAGTGACGATGATCCAATTGGTGTCACCATCTTGAAACATCGACTTCGATGGCTTGGACATGTTTTACGAATGTCGTCCCAGAAAATTCCACGTCGTGTATTATTGGTCGATGCTGGGACTGGTTGGAAAAAGCGGTGGTCAGTGTATGACATAGTGTCGTGACAAGAAAGAAGGATATACAGGACTGGTTTCTGTTGGTCCCTCACGACTCTCTAGTTGGGTTTCTAGAGACGGTGCAACATAGTGGATAGGGACGTTATCAGACAATGGCTCAGTATAAAAGCCAGTGGCGATCCTACCGTAACTTTCTTCAGAAAAATGAACGTAACTTGTTTAACTGAAAGAATTCTTTCTGGTTGTAATTTTCCTAACCGAACTGTTTTCCCCACTATTGTTATTATTTCACTCTCATACACTAATTTCTGTTCATTGTTGTTCTTCTTTTATTATATGCACTTTACATTCACAATCTCATTATTTTGTGGTGCCCCCTAGTGCCAATGTTTACGTTTTCAAATAAATAAATTGCAGTTCTTACTGATAGACGTAGGATAGTAAGAAACGGGATTTGTTTTTACCGTTAATTTGTCTTGGACAGGAAGACACATTTTATTTACGAAACCGGTTGTATTGGTCTAAATTTGTACCACATAAATTAACGTTTGGACATATCATACCTTAGGATCCATGGGAATAGGGTTAAAATGCAGATACATAAATATAAAGCGTACGGGCCGCGTCAACTTGATATACTTTGCATTAACATAATAGTCAAAAACATTAATTAAATGACAAGAGTGAATACAGTGAGCCCTTCAATAGTCAAGCGATTAAAGAAAAGTGTGAACACAGATGACAAGTACTCAGTAATAGGAGACTTATACTTAATAGAAAGTACGCTAATGTAGTCAATTTTGTGTTTTACGGCAAAATACCTCAAACCTCAAATTGAGGATAAATTAACTGCTTCAGTCAGGAAGCTTATCATTTCTTAAATGATTTAAATCACTAGTCAATGACTCAGGTTGATAGTATGTTATGATCTGGTCAGCCTTCACCAGGAGTAAAACATTATTTTTTGTCCTTGACATAAATACGAAGATAAATGAAATTATCGAATTCCTTTCCATTTATAGTCTACAGGTTTACATCCTATTCTATTATATATGGTTGTCTACTGTTCCCAGTATTTCAACAATGTAGCAGACAAACCACTATTCACAATACGGTTGAAAAGCAAAGGAATAAAATTAGAATGTTATTAGGTACATCGAACAATTGTACAGTTAGAAAAATATAAAGCGTAATAAATCTTGTAGGCATAAAAAAGAGCGATACCTAGTATAGCAAGTTGAACATTCAACAGCAACATCACCATAGACGTGTGATACATTCTGATATAAAAGTTTATTATAAAATGCAATCTTGAGAGTAACGTTTATCAAGGAGTTCAGAAAGTGTCGACAGGAACATTTGATGACTGGACAGGATGGAGCGGCATACACGATGTATTTTCTATAAACTGTACACCAGACTGACCTTCACAAAAACTAGATGGCTCCAATTTATTATTTTGACCCTCATTTTCCTGATCCAGTTGAGAAATATTTTCCACTTGTTCTTCATTAACCAGTAAATTAGACTCTTCGTTATCTTCTGTAGGCTGTTCTGGTTCTGGGCACCCATCTAAGAGACCATCACCCCAGTCAATTGGAAAGCGAGTAACACGAGGGTCTGAAGCTATTATATGTCGTTCCAGCTGGAAATTATGATAAATTCATGAGAACTTAATGAAAAAAATAGAATTCAAACAATTGAAACGGTTGTTTACCACATCATTTTAAGAAAGCTTTCTTATCAAAAGAATTTAAGTAAGCATACTACTAGACACGGGTCCATACATTTTAACTGCGTAATGACAACAACGAAAGTCAAGATATAAATTTTAGGTTATCTGTTTGTGTGGTGGGCTGGTAATGATCAAATAATGGGAACCACAGAGATAATATAATTTCTAGAACGATATTTTGAAAGTCTTTAATTGATACAGAACTGCTAAATGTTTTCTATTTAAGATTGCACTGAATTTATCACCAGATGAAGCAATATCTAGCTAGAAAATCTTCATCCTTATAAGATAGCAAAAGTAGTTGGTTTATTGATAATTTCCTAGTAAATGAGTACATACGGACCCACTAATTTATTACACTGTGCTATGAGTTATTAATAGACAGTTTCTAAGCTCTTTGTTTTCAATACCTGTTGATAGACCGCATCAACTACGCAAGTCATAAACAGAAAACAGTGAGAATATTTTGTGTTATTTACTTTGGTACCATCTTTCGAGTTTTCGTTAATACCATTTGAAAGCACAATATGCCAATACAAGTAACTTATGAGTTAGCTTCAGTTTGTGTGTAAACTTGTTTATGTCGGTGTTCATACTACTAAAAATAATGTACGGAATGCGTATAACATTTTCTGTCATATACGGTCTTTACAAAGACATTCCCCCATGAACTTTGAAGATTTTCTACAAGATTTGTGAACCTGATCTGACAGTGATAACAATGAATTTCTTAATACAACTTAATTTCTCTTCGGCTGTTTGGAAAGTAATAGCAAATCACCATTACAAAATGAGCGGCTCAAAAGAAAGTAGTCAATATACCAACAATTTGATATTGTTGAATTAAATGAAATTGTTGAAATAAAACCTTTCCGTCTATTAAGCTACTTACCTTGTCTAAAATATGTGAAGTAAGGATTGGAGAGATGATTGAAAGCTAAGTATAGAATTTACCGAGCCATTGTTGTCACTTAGTTCGTTGACACGAACAAAATGTTTGATTCAGCTAAAACTTTTAGCTTTAGATTTAAAGGTTGGCGATATGATCAAAGCAGTGTACAAAGGCAGACTATGTTGACTAAGTTTTAGAATTTAAAATGGTGTAAGACATAGATGTATGCAATTTGTGTGTATTTTATTGTCCCCTTATTTGTAGCTTTGAGAAACTATGCCAGAAGTATCCTGACAGAAAACATAAAGAAACACATGTTTTCAACTTCATGAAATTCGAAATTAGGGCAACAGTGAAGAATTACATTTCGAGATACCAATTATTCAGAGCGATAGCGCAAACCAGTAACCACTTCTAAGTTCATGTACTAGGTTATAGAAGATATTCAATGTTACCAATTTGTTTTTTTACGTAAGAATAGGGATATCAAGAATTAGACATTATTATGTTCATCAGCGTCACAAAATTTTTAGATAGAACATTATAAATTTAGCTTTTCTATGCACTTACAGAAGATGTCAAAATATACTTCAATTCGTTAGTGTTGCTCTTATTAGCTCCATTTATACTTTTGTACGGAAAAATCATGAAAAGAAATAACTAGTTGTCACCCATATCCATAGTTATGACTGAGAAAGCATGCTTTGTATATTTTCCAATTGATGGGTATTATACTTTTGACATATATGCAGTTCTCAAATTTTAACTCACTTTATTCCGAAGATTAAAAACCTATCAGAATAGCATACATAGTCCACTATTGTGTTCGTGAAGTGTCCCGAGCTGATCGATCAAGTTGGACGGTACGCCTAACTTTCAATTACTGAGTTATAGGTCCAAACACTAGTTCCACCCAATTTAGTTTGGACATCTCCATGGTATTGTTGGACCTTATATCATGTGCCTTAAACTAAGTACGTGGATCTACAGTTGGTTACTGAGGTGTAGAAATTACTACTACTTAGGCTGGAAAATGTAATGATTGTGATATAGGAGCCATGTGTAGTTTCATTCAACTAGTCATGATTATTTAACGTCCAAAATAGTAGGAACTAACAAAAACAACAAATAATCAGCATTAGATCACAGCGCTCGTGAGTCTCATACCACAGATAATACAAGTCCGATTGGCGATTCCGTACAGGTTTTAAAGCACACATTTACATATCAACATCCGGATGTAACCCAATTCCTTGATCTTCAGGTAGAAACATACCCAGTAAACCAAGGGAGTTTTGGTGGTCTTTCACTGAAAGGAATATCAAAAGGGTACATAGACCGATCTAAGGTTTGTTGCTCAAATACTCTCGATCGAGTTAGCTTTTGGAGAATTATGATCTGAATTGACTACATTAAGTGATGTTCGTAAAGGTTGCTCATCTTTCTCACGTTCTGTTCATTTTGTTGAACATTCCTAAAAATGAAATGTATGACTTTTTATGAATCGACTTAATAGTCAGAGACTCACTAGAAAGATAAAGATTTTGATGAGATCCAGTCTTTGAAGCTCTGATTAACAATCAAGAATGTTTGCGATACGTTCTCCTAATTGTGAAATGTTGCTTCATGACCTGGTACGTGTCGAAGTCTAGTTTGATCTTAGTCAGTGAAGTATTAAAAGTGGGTTGATGACTTCACTTACCTCAGAAGTTCTAATGAGTTCGTGACTGACAAAATCTCGAGACGATAATGTAATGGTCACTTGGCATTTATCGACTTGTATATGAGGCACGATATCCGTTTGTCTATAAAGGGGTATTGATACCGCACAACAGCGTACTCAATATTTTTTACGGCTATGAAGAGTGGCCCATAAGAAATTATATGGACAGGCCACAGGTATCTGATCACAGATATCTTCGAGAGTTGTTTGTGTATAGTGATGTATACTGAGGCTATACACAGGGATGGGGATGAGGTTGTAAACCTTAATCGACTAAAGTGGTTGAGACGTTAAGCATGCATTGCGGGTTGGCATAGCAGTAGATTGGAAATAAGACAGAGGTGCTAAGATCAAGATGGTAATAACCTATAGTCACTGACTGTTATTCTGTTCCGGATCAGTTGCAATTGAGCGAGTAAATTCAGTCTTTATCCTCTAAATCTTAACTTTTGGAATAATTCCATACTTTTTATTTTCAATTGGGTCCCTTTTTCAAAGAAGTTATCCCGATGCACATTAGTGCCAGATCCAGCCTGCAATATTACACTTAGGCTGTGGGAAGGAACAGAATATACATAAATGTAGGTCATACTTCACCACAATCTTTTGCACCCTTCTGGATTCATACTCAAATGGTAGGTAACTAATCCTTATAAAACAAGTTAAGATCATGAAAAAGTTTCAAAGCCTATTTTAGAATTTGTCCGTGACCATTTTTTAAAATTTCTTTAATGATAGTTATCTGGATTTCATTTGTTCGATGTAATAATGTATTTGGCTTTTAAGAAGTATATGTGAGGTGACGATACAGCCCAGCTGCCCAAACAGAAGTGGAAGGGTTAGTACATGCGGCATAAACATTAAACCATGGACCCGAAATTAGGTAACTGTCCCATATGCAAATAGATTGCCTATCACTGTTTTCGAAGGACAAAAAAGCGAATAGAGATGCTTCCTTTAGGAAAAACTTTACAGATAGTGGGTAAAAAATCTGTACTACTATAAAAATATATCAGATAATGATTACGTATGAAAATGAACAAGGATATAAGGTGCGATGAACAAATCAAACAGAGAACTGTTTATTCAAATGAACGTACTTCGTTAAGTAAAGGTTCAGCCGGCGGTTCAAGACGTAATTCTTCTGTTTTGTACTCATTGTTAACATAATAACCAACACGTATAAATTCTTTATCTCTGTACAAAGCTTGTATAAGCACAACTGTTACGCCAACAATGTCTTCATTAGGAATTATTTTTGGATCAGGAGCATTAGCCTCAAAAGAAAATTGATGACGACCAACTGGAATTGGACCAACTAAGATGGAATCCAATGTCTGGTCTAAAGCTGGGTTGTAGGCACTGCTAACATACACTAACTTCCATTCTAGATCTAAAGTCAATGAAAAACACTAACGGTAATATGAATTAATGTGGAAGTACTTGATTTTTCTAATAAAGCCAATTACCAAGGAGCACATTTAAAAGTGGAATACTGATTGAGAAAACCTGAAGAATGGAATATCTATTAACTCATTAGCATCTGACCCCCATGAAGTGTGGCTTATTAGATCAAGCAAGTGACAAATGGAGTAATGGTCTAAAAATTGCCTTACTAATCAAGGTTGGGGGATCAGGTGTAAACAAAACCAAGAAAACAGGTGTGCTAACTTAAGACACTTACCTCTATTAGGTATCTTATATTTCAAGTGGTTGATGAAATCAGTACACACATTTTAATTTGACACAAACTACACTTGTAGGTTAGTCTGGTCAAAAATAGCTATACACGAGTATTCACACAGAATATCCTACTTATTCGACGAAGTTCTCACTGTCCACTATCTGATTAGGTTCCGTATGATTTATCAACGGTTATGTTGAACTGTTGTAGTTCGATTTCTCATAGTTTAAATTCTACTGAAAATCTTTAGGTAAGATGTGGATATGGCACTAATTATTGCTTCAGGGGACTAGTTGCATCACAGGTACATAACACAGACAGTATACGGTCAAATTATGATGTTGGATTAAAGTGATTATTAGGAAGATTCCAGGTATGGTAACAGATTTACTATTACTACGGGGTTTACAAATACGACCGACACCAGACGAAATGGTAGTTTGGGAAACCAGTAGCACTAATTGTTGTGTTAAGTGAAACTTACGAAAAGTTCAAAAACCTCTGCATACACAAAATTAATCTGATTGTTGCCATACAAAGCCTCCTGCGTTTATTCACAAACCACACCTAGCGATCCGAGTGTTATGAAAACGGCTCTTTTGGGAACTATAATGCTTAGGTGGCAGAAATAATTCGAAAAGTTTTATTTGATTAGCTGCATTACTTGCTTACATAAAATTGAGATAATCACGGATTGGATTTAATTTATACACAGCATTTTATGTGCTGCGGGAAGCAGTCAGTACTAACAATTGGCATCAGTTCGAACAGATTACAGCGACGCATAACGTTGGGTCGTTTGTTATAATCATCGTGATTTATCCTTTCAGTGTTTTGCCATGATGTTACTCAAGATAAAAATGAAGTGAGAAATGAACCTTCCAACGCGAGAAAGCACACAAGCTATTTCCTGAAATGACAATTCTAATAACATTTTAATGGCAATGATGGTAAACTGACAACATCAGATCTGAGTTTCGAGTACTTTTTACATGCACTTCTTCAAATACCAGGACAACTTGTACATCTTTACAGCTTACGGCATCGCAAAGGACCTCTATGTAGTGACAAAATATCCTAGGATCGGTATCCCATTGCCTTATGAAATCGTCCCTACTTTTAAGGATAGTTTTACTATACCTCCAAGTGCCATTTTCTGGAGATTTTAGAATCGCACGGCGGCGCTTGGGTTATGAAGATCGTGATAAATGGGTATGTGTTGTTGGCTGCTGATATTTCAAGTTGTGTCATAAAAATGTATACTGATACGCCAAAAAGTCGTATACAAGATATTAACTTAGTTTCATGACTAAGAAAGCAAAGAGAAGAACTAACAATTTGGTGCTACTACTGATCATTGAAAAAGTATATGGGCTCACCATCATCTAGAGGTTCATGACACTCAAATGTTATACGGAACTTAAATGGATCAAAGAATGAAGCAGGGTTGTCCAAAACCTCAACATTACAAATGTTAACCTTCGCCATTAAGCAGCCCCAGAGTGTAGCGCAATACGTTCGAAACTTTTTACTATCACTTTCTTGTTTTAATTATCAGATTGCACATGTTATTTCTGATTGTTATTAGTCACTCACGTTATTAGATGTAAGCGCATTCTATGTGCTAGCTGTGCTTCCTGTCCACCTTTTCTATTGGTGTTTTCTCTTCCACATAATCTCACTACTTCCAAAACCTCGGTTTTCGCTTGATGAGCTCGTATGCCTAATGGTAACAGTTTACCGACACCTCTCATATGAGACAAACTCAGGCAAGGGGAAGATCAGTAAATTAGTGTTGTGTTAGGTTTCTTCTTCAGGGACTCCTTAAAAAAGTGCCTTGGACCCAATCGGAAGACTGAGTCCCGAGACTCGTGAGGGCGTTGCGATTACATTCCAGTCTGCTGTATTGCACCTCGGGTTTCTGGTTATCGCCATCAAGGTTTCTGTTCGAATAGAACTTAAATAGAACATCTAGAGGATACCCAGTTGTGCCTCGGATTATGTAAGTCATAAAAAATTCATTCACGAATTGCTTATTTTCTAAAGGGTAAAAATCTAGGAACTTACTGCTTGAATTCAATCCCTTGAACTGATTTTTTAAACCCCCTTCAATACGCGTCATAGCATTCTTATCTTTTTGAAATGAAAGAGGAAACATTATGCTTTCATGCTATAAAAGTGATCAGCTGATAGTGTTCAAGATTAAGTGAAAACTCCTAGTCTTTAAACGGATAAAAATGGGCTTCAAAGCCACTATTGCCACGCTTTCTCTAAAACCTTTTCTCACAGTTAGCATATGGTTACGGCTATATGATACCAAAGAACCTAAATCATTTTTTGATATGTGAAACGTCCAGAGGAGAACTGCCGAAACGGTATATGTGGCTATGAGATATATGACACTATCGTATTCTGAAATGCTGGAAGTATGTTCATTGTTATGTGAACGACTTCGAAGTTGAGTCGGATCCTCCCGAAATTCTGGCCTGTCACCCTGGTTTCACACTCTTCACCAAACCTTGGCGTCAAAAATGAGCACTAGTTGCAGATGGTTATCTGTAAAAGTTAAAAAGCAAATGTCTTACTGTGAAACCCCGGGGATCCCGTTAAGGCATCCTGTGAAAGTGAGGAATATGCTCTGACCATAAACGGCCCTCTATTCACATGTGGCATTATTCAGTCCACCACTGGTGGACGCTCATCTGGTTAAGCTTATTTATAAGACAGGTGTGATAGATTCTATCAGAAGCTTCTAAAGATTCGAAAAACCGTACACCTGTTATTTCTTGAAGACTAAGGATAATGGTCCATCTATTCATCATAGTCAACAAATTGGCTTTATAGTCACAGTAAAGCAAAACAGTGTTTGGTATCGACTGTGACCCTGTCAAACGCGTGAGTTAGGTATGTGACTCAGGCCTGTCCGATCTTGTTTATCAGGATGGTATGGCATAGCAGCAGTAAGGTTGAACATGAGGACCTCGCGGATACTTCTACTCAGGGTTGAGTTGTAGAATTATGGTCTACTATTAGTACTGCTCTAATAATAGACCTAATCCTAAAATTGTAGATTTGTCATGATATAACTGCCTAATCTATAAGATCTTACGTGGAAGTCACACCATCGACTAGACCAACTCACTGTATCGTATCAATTACCAATACATGATGTAGAACAAGGTTAGGCTGGAGAAGGAACAATATATTTAATATGAATAGAAGATATAAGGTAACACTCAGATGGATCACGCCTGCATGGCCGAGCCATACCATCCTATCAACTCCAGTCCATTCAATTTATTTGTCGCGCCTTCTCCATCGTTAGGTGTTTCTCCGCGTTAAATATTGAATATATATTTTCCGAGTAATCTCGTAGTCAGCTCTGAGGATTGTGTGATTATGGCCCAATGCCACTACAGAGTTACCGGATATGGCTGAAGTTGTCTTCATGAAGAAGAAATATTGCAATAACGTATGAGAGATGCTGAGAGTCTATCAGACTACACCACTAATATGCTCGGCAAGATCTAAAGATAATCAGAACTCTAGAACGCTGTGGCTGGACAGATTTGCCGGAGACTCTGATAGCCATTTTCTTGTAATCCATTTCTGGTCGGTTAACTGGTTTAAATCACACCTCCTTACAGAATCTACCCGATTAAGGGTTATATGTTAGAATCGACTAAATCTAAATTCTACCTACCCAACTGGCCACAACCGCGATTAAATTGGGAGGAATGCATTGATGTGGATAATTCGATATCTTATGACTCATATTTCAGCCGACATCTCATTAGTTCACATATTCATTCACCTAGATTATACGGATGATTGCACAGATGGTGTAAACAAACTTTTCTTCGCTTGATGAACAATGCCACTGTCATTATGTTCTAATCTCTTAAATCCATAGGAGAAATCCTGTGATAACTCTTCACTTTCACTTATTTCCAACGTAAATCATGTTACAGGGGTGATGATAAAGTCGAATTTACGAGATCCACAAAATATAAATACCTTGCCTCGTTTTAGAGCTATCAGTATCAGTGTAACAGGTGACTGGTTCTCTTTGATAATATTCTGCACTGTTACCGTTTAATTTTAAACGCTATCAGTGCAAAAACCTCGTATGTTTAAGTTCTTCACCTTGCTGTAATAACTTTAATTTCAAGTTTTCAGACCGTTGTTTTGTTTAGTCGGAAAGGTTGAGACAGCGGCGAGCCTCAGTTTTAGTTCTGTGAAGCTCTATAGGTCTTTGTTATGATATCGTAGTAAAGGCCAAAGTTACTTTCAAAAGACGTGTTTTCCGTGGACCATCAGCTCTTAACTGTCATTCACCTACGTACTGAGCATAAATGCCAAAACTGACTGGCGTTCCTTTGGTGGATAGTGCACGTGTTCATTAATTTTCGGGTATTATTCGGCTACTTCTAAGTACCACACCATTCTACTGGCTTGCACATCTTCCACAGATAACCATATTATTTAGAGTATGGTTGAAATCATCTGACTTTGTTTGAGTAGATGTGTCTCAGATGTGTCAACGCCCTTTTGTAATTGCCATGACGAATTCATTTTGTATTGTTTGTTTGAATCTTCCCATTGATGTTTAGGACTGCAATTGATCAGTCTCTTATTGGCATATGTGCATACTGTGTGTGTCGCCTCGGTATTGCCTCAGTTCACAAGCATTATAGGCAAAGATGGATGGTGGATAGCAGTGGGATCCAGGAGGCGCGTTTCACCCTATTTGGGACTCGCCAACTTGATGTACCTGCATTTTAGAGTTGATGTTCACTCCGGAACTCGAATCCACCACCGTTCGATTCAAACGCCACCATCCACCTTTGCCAAGACCATGCGTTACCAACTGATCAGAGCTCGATAACCAATCTTTTAATTTGGGAATAAGTCCAATTTGACGGATGTCAACATTTGTTGATGAGCTTACCAGGGAAGATGATGAACAGTGGAATGAAAGGGCCACGGCTGCTGGCCTAGTTGGTGAAAACCATTCCCAGTGAAACACAAATGTATTTATTGGAACGACACAAGTTAAAATTAATGCTATATCAGAACGTCACAACAAAATATATCCAGGGATTTAAAGTCCGCAAACAATTTCACAAATCTGAAATGACTTTTGATCAGTTAACCTCAAATTCTGCCACATAATATTCCCTCTCAGTCACCATCACAATTTATCTTTTGAGGGAACAAATAATGTATCTTCAGTAGACTGAATAGAATGCAGTCAAACGATTCAAAGACACCACAGGTATTGGTAGTTTGACAACGCCTTTACGCCAAACACCTCTATAATCAAAGTATACTAATCTGGTCAAGTCAGAATTCAGAAATGAAGAGGTCTGAAAATATATTTGGAAAGTTATTGATACGTTGAGGAGCGTTTGGTCTTAGGCGGATAGTGGTCGCAAGGGATGCGTATCACAGCTCACTCACTCGTTAACTGATGCGGATGCGTGACCTACAGCTGAGTGTGTCCAGTGAAACTAATGAAGTCAGCACCAATATCGAAGACTTACAGAACCATTTATTTTGGAGGTTTATTTACCACTACAAGTTCTTCAGTAGTATTAACAGAAGTTAGACCTTAACAACAGACAACATGGCTAGTGCTTGATATTACTGAGCTGACGTTATAAGTGTAAAATGTAGCAACGATATTGCGAATCCAGGTTGCACCTCATTTATTTATTTAGCATGCCCCAGGTTCGGTTTTTTGTATTAAAGACAGAAGGCCTATGTTCTATGTTAGCCCTTTTCCAGTGAGCTTTTTAGTGTCTAGTCTTTTCTTGAATGAGTCGATTTAAGGAACAAACACCACTTATTCGAGTGACAGGTTCTAAGAATTGATAACTTGGTATAAAAACCTGTATTCTATGGATATTTTGCTCGTTCTTAGCATTGTACTTCCCTGGTATGTACTCTATGTAATCGCGATCCATTAAGAAGACAAGATGTATCGGGTCCAAAATCGTTTCATAGTATCCTATACACCAAAGTCAAATCACCACTTAATCTACGGCAAAACGGTGTAAAGAAGTGTAACTTCTTAAGCCGCTCCTAGTCTGATAAACTCCATCAATGCCTGGATTTTTCAGATTCTGGAATAGTCTACTTTTGATACTTTATCGAGTGCTTTTCTGAAGTCTGTCGACAACATCCACTGATTTTCTATTATCTAGAGCCTCTATCTATTGCTCACTCGCCATAAAAAGATTTGTTGTGCAAGGTGAACCTTTTCTGGAACCATGTTGTTCTCTCTCTAACAAGTTGTGACGTCCAAAAAGGTCACTATAGTCTTTTTGATTAGTTTTTCCTAGTATTTTAACTACCACGCTAAGGGATATGAGATTATGGCGTCAATTACATTTCGTCCGGACGAGTTTTTCAGCTCTCAACGCTGAAGTGGATTTGATATAATTAGTACTTTTTTGAAATAGCCAAATCGACTTGCATTGTCTGATCCGTCATAACCGAGGCTTCTTTGAGGTAAAGCTTATCACTTAACACA